GCCCCCAGAAACAAAAAAAAAAACAAAAAAAAAAAAAAAAAAAAAACCCACAAAGACAATGAGAGAGATGACGAAGAAAAAGGAGGTGGAAAATAATGGGCAAGAACGTGAAGTATTGTGTATGTGTGAAAAGTCTCGCAACTATTTCCGAGAAACGCACAGCGGTAGCGTGTCAGCTGAGGACATGAGCGCTAGATAACGACGTATCATGCAAATGGGGAGGAACACCCACGATAAAGTCACCGGGGAGATTAAAAAAAAAAAAAAAAAAAAAAACCACAAAGACAATGAGAGAGATGACGAAGAAAAAGGAGGTGGAAAATAATGGGCAAGAACGTGAAGTATTGTGTATGTGTGAAAAGTCTCGCAACTATTTCCGAGAAACGCACAGCGGTAGCGTGTCAGCTGAGGACATGAGCGCTAGATAACGACGTATCATGCAAATGGGGAGGAACACCCACGATAAAGTCACCGGGGAGATTTGAAAAGTCCCCAGTGTAAGCAACCCTGCATCCGAATTAAAATGCTAATGAAGAAAAAACAAAAAAAACAAAACTACATTTGCTTCAACATTCTTATTCTTCTACCAAACTCTGTGTAAAAAAAAAGCGGGTTGCGACAGGATGATCAGTCGGGAGTGAAGTTACAACAAGGTGATTTAAAAGTGTCATTTAAATGCACGGCAGCTAAATTGAGGAGCTCCGCCTGAAAGTCTTCAATAAGTTAGCAGCAGCAGCAGCTGCTTTCGTTGAGTCTGGACAGTGATTTTTAAATCAGACCGGCAAATTGGTGCCGTTGCCTTTCATCTGAGGCAGCTGGCGAAAGTAAAGCCTCTTCGTTCTCAAGAGCACTTTGAAACAGTCATTCATGCTTTCGGATGACTGTCATGCGCTTTACTTTGGAGTCAGCCGATCCTCCATTCAGCGTCTCCAGTTGGACCAAATTGCTGCTGCTCTCCTCTTGACTGGTACTCGTAAGAGGGAGCACATGACTCCTACACTCTGGCATCATTTTAGGGTTCTTTTGAAGATCCTATTGTTTGTTTCCAAATCTTGAAATGTCCTGGCCCCACCCGCCCTCTTTGAGCTCCTCTATCCCGACGCACCCGCCCGGTGCCTCAGGTCTGCGGACCAGACACGATTAGAGGTACAGAGACCGTTCACAGTCACATTCTTATGTGTGGACCTCCAGGTTCAAGAATCTTGGTGCTGCTATTTCGCAGATATTATTTTTTTCTACAGCTCTCTTTAGGCCAAATTCATAAAGAACGAATTGTGGCCGCTGACGGCACCTTCAATTGCACTTCATTTACAGCTCTCTTTAGGCCAAATTCATAAAGAACGAATTGCACCTTCAATTGCACTTCATTTGGCCAGAGTCAAAGATTCATCCTAACTTTTCTTTTGTCTTTGCGGGTCTGTGAGAAACGCTTTGTGATAATCTGTGCAGACATGTTTTGGTTTTTTTTTTCTAAACCTAATGTAGTTGAATGTCTACAAATCCTCACAAAGCATGAAAATGCTATGGGGCCCTCACGGGACAACAAAGCTACATCAGCAGCCCAGAAGATTCTGAATGTGACACAGTGAGAGAAATTAGATGGTGTTGGACAGTTGGAAGCAGGAGACCAGCAGTGACGGAACGAAGCAACGCAGAGACGAGGGGAAGGGGGGGGGGGGGAGATTCTACCTTATAGGCGATGCGGGGTGGGCATTTCTTTCCCAAACCTAGAGGAGGGGACATGTCTCGAAGCATCTCGTACATATCACGATAAGTCATACGGCCACTTTCCGCAGAGAGGAGAGGAGAGGAGGCCACGGAGGAAGCAATGGAGAGTTCCCATGGGTGAGATGGTACGGTCAAGAAGAAGGGGTGGGGAAAGTTTCATCAACCAAACGCAACAAGGAAAATGGCAGGGAGAGCGGGCAGGGGAAAGAGACAGAAATCCTTGTTAATAAGATTTCCAGGATGTCATGATATGGAATCCTTGTGGGAGTGAAGGATTCGGGAATGCATCCCAGAGGCGAACGTTCAGGGAAAAGGCTCTGTGGAGAACGACCTGGATGGAGGCATCCCGGCCAAAGTTGGCCATTCGGAAGTTCGAGTGCATTTTGGGTGACATGAATACTCTGTGGTTCAATCCATAAAATGGGAGAGGGTGTTTCTCCAAAATGGCCGCACAGGACAACCTGCTTCTACAGCGTCCGGATTGGATGAATCCTCCAGCAAAACAAGCTGTCGATAATGATGAGCAACATGACAAACTCTCGGAACATACGCTCCGGGTGATTTCATCGCAAGCTGACAGCTTTTTCGTACACATCGGGTTTGTAGTATGGCTGAAAATCAGATGAAATCGCGATGCACATACGGTATGGGCCATTATCGGTATTAAAATCAAATGTGAAACTTTTTTTTTTTTTTTTTTACTGTCCATAACGATATAAAGTGCCTTTCAGTGTTTAAATAAAATCAAATGCATCATTACCATGATTACTATTACGGTCCTAAGTGACAGAATAGTGGCAGAGTATTCATCCAAGATGCCCTCTACCTCCGGATGCCAAAAATACACACAGCAGTAACCAACGTGGAAACAAAGCTCACAACGCTCACAAGTCTGCATTTCATTCCCGCTTAATTAAAAAAAAAAAAAAAAACAGGCGATGTCATTCGACATCTTGTTTGCCGCCTTTCGTAGGAGCCTCACTTGTGGCGTTGTTTCTTCGGCTTGCCACAGTTAGCTGCATGCCGGTTAGTAAGGGATCAATGCATATTTGTATGCATGTGTGCCCATGTGGTTCTCTTGGCACCTCAGGAAATGAAAACAGACATTGACGGTCCAAATCATCACAGTCCCTTTGCCGAGAAAAGGACTGTGAGGGAAGTGCAAACCTTATAGGCCACCCTGTTTGGGCACTTCTTCCCCAGGCCCAGGGGCGGGGAGATAAAACGCAACAATTTGTACATATCTTGGTAGCATATCCTTCCACTGAAAAAGATAAGACATGATCAGTCATGTTAGGTCAGAGCATGTATATGCTTGTGCATCGCTGCAATACTCAAGAAGAACATAGACTCGAGACGTACTTTCTATCCGACGCGTACGTTTGCGTTGTCTTGAATAGGGAATAGACTCTCTCTTGCAGAATGTCTGTCAAGAGGATGGCAGTTTGATCGCTGCCTGTTGCCTGAGTCCAAAACAAGGCTGCAGAAAAGCTACCGAGCCACAGGTAGGAGGATTCCTCTCACGACTAAAACATGTCAAGTGAAACGCGGTGAGTGCGGCAGGGAGCGTAACTCGTATCGTCCCATTGGCGAGAAAATGCCTTGCCTTCACACTTCCGTGAGTCCGTGACTAACGGTGATCTTTCGAGGCGCTTGCTTTGGCAGGAAGGAGGCGACGCTTGCCGGATTTACATGCATCGGGCTCGCCGGCTGAAGGCTTGTCACCCTTTCTCAGTTGGCACGGGGCTCAGGCTGTCATTCCCCCCGCCGCGGATTCTGAAGACGGGATCTCCCGCTACGCCCCCGCCCGCCCACCCACACACACTAAAGGGCGTTGAATCATTCGGCTGGAACACCGAGACTCTAAGCAGAACCCCCTCTCGAAGCATAGCGACACAATGGAAATCGTCCGAAAGCACCTACCAGGCAGCCGGGTCATACTCTGCCCATACACGGATAAACTCATCAAGGTGATGAGGACCCAAGATGGAGGCATCCCTGGTCAGATATTCAAAGTTGTCCATGATGACAGCAACAAATAGGTTGAGCATCTAGTGAGGGGGGGGGAAAACAAACGGCAATAAACATCTGCGCGCATCGAGCAAGGTGCTTAAAGAGTTGCAAAGTAGCACTTTGAATGACCCGCACGGATGAAGTGTGTTCACCGAAGGGCCAAGATTACTGACCAAGAAGGAGCAGAGGAAAATGAAGGAGACAAAGTAGAAGTAGGCAAAGTCGCTTCCGCACTCTTTCCCCGTTGTTCCTGAGAGTTTGTCACATGACCGGTTACTGAGACATGAAAGCATAATTTCGTGCCACGCTTCGCCGGTGGCGCTCCTGCAAAATGCAAAAGGCAAAAGCAAAGACGCACCATTGGAACCCTGCGCAACTTTTAAGATTGTGTGCGTGAGTGTGTGTGTGCGTGTGCGTGCGTGCACCTGAAGAGAAGGGTTAAAGCCTGGAAAAAGGTCTGGAAGTTGTTGTGGTGATTTATTGCAGTCTCTTCATTCAGCTCGATGTTCCCAAACACCTGCAACAGGAGGGAATGATAATCTTAAAAGTGCAAAGTTGCTTTTTAAATTTTTTTTTGGGAAGTGTTGAAACATTTGGATGATCGTGAGGCTCTTCGGCATCGTAACTTCGTAACACCGATGACAACTTGATCTAAGATTAAAACGAGGCAAGAGACCAGCACTTTGTCGCGGCGAAAACGACCTTGGCAATTGTCAGCGTTGATTATTTATTTGAACGACAGTAAAAAGGCTGCTTGTGAAATAATCATCAGTCTTTCTTTGGCTGTAGCAGATCTTGAATGATGAGAAAATGTTGGAGAGAAAGAGCGCAAGCAGACTTTTTTTAATTACACTCAATAAATCAACAATATATTTTGTCTGTTGACAGGCTTTTTTTTTTCTCTTGCACCAAACGTGAATTTTGTCATTCTGGACAAAAAGTTCAACTATGGACCACAAACTATTTTAGCCCGTGTGTTTGGAAGATTTTATTACGGCGGAGTAAATGTGGCAGGAGTGCGATGGCTCCCGTTTAACAGGAGCTTGAATGTGATTGGTTAATTCCAAGGACAGCCACCTCTCAGTTCTAAGAGGCGTGTCTGTCCACATTATTTCAGTTTTTTTCAACGTCAGAAAGGTTAAAAGTGGAGAAAAAAAATCAAAAGCACAGCTCCTAAGTAATCCCTATGTGGTAAAAACGCTCTGAAATGATTTCTCTTGTTTGAGGAAAAATGAAATGAATTGGAACGTCCATTCCGAAAAGCGCGCAAGCACTCACCTGCATTCCGATAATGGCGTAGATGAAGAAAAGCATCGCAATGAGCAGGCAAACATATGGCAGGGCCTAGAGAGGCAAACGCAAACAAGACAGTCCAGTACAGTGCCGGCTTCTGATTTTCTGTTTCCATTTTACGGCGTCGGCACGCGAGTCTTGCCTCTCTATCTCTTTGCACACAAACAAATCCGAATGAGTCTTCACCTATTTGCCAGTCTCGTTGCACAATTTCAACAGTCAACCCTTACCTGCTGGCTTGATTCGTTCAAATCTCAGTTGAGGGAGAACGAGACATTTGCTGTCGTTAAACAGCCAGCTTCTAACGCCGCAGTTACTGTTGATTTTCGTAAAAGCTCTCCCCACTGACGTTAAACCTGCTCTAAATTCCTCCGGGATTTAAAATGGAAAACCAGCATGAGGAGAAAAATATCGACGGAGGCCTTGTCAGGGCAAGCTTGCGACTTTTTATAGTAAACCCAGTTTGCATTGCGCCTCGACAACCTTTTTAGTCTCTCGGATGCTGGTGATGTTTCTCTCTCCAAAAAAATAAACATAAATAAATCACAGTTGGTAAACAGCAAACTGATGGAGTTGCTTTCTTATCTCTAGAGCATAAATACTCGCCTGCGTGATCTGCATTTTCAACGTCAAGACGGTAACGCCACACAACCTGCCTTTCCACTCTGTATTCAAATGTGCGTGAGAAGGGATGTTTTTTTTTTTTTTGGGGCGTTTGCTTCTTCACCTTGAAGGACTGCACGAACGTCCACAACAAAATGCGAATGGTGTAGCCCTGCCGAAGCAGTTTGATGAGCCGGGCGGCTCTGAACAGCCTCAGGAAGCTCAGGTTAATCATCTTGTCCTGGAGGTGATGAATGGAAACGGGGAAAAGGTTTACAGCCAAACAACCTGAGGACAAACGGCTTTTCTTTCAACGGTCAAGTGCGCATAACCTTCAAGCGACTGAGAACAACACACAGCAAATCAACGGGACAAGTCGTCGATCCAGAGTAACCGTGGAAATGACTCAAACACCGTTGACCTCATTATTACTATCATAGTACCATGAAGAGATTATTTTAACTCATCTAATGCCAAAACGTAAAAATTACGTTTGCAAGAACCTAATCGTTTTAGTGCCAAAACGTATAATTAGTTGTTTTTTTTTTGTTTTTTTTTTTTGTTTTTCACGAAAGGCTTTGCGCGGCTCCTCAGTAAGTAGCAAGGATTTGGGAATGATTTTCCGAATGATAAATAACCACAAGATAGAAGGAGTGGCAAAAATGTGTCCACTAGTCACACACACAAAAAAAAAAAAAAAAATGTCCGTCACAATTGGAGAAAAATGGCTGGCATTAAATGAGTTCAATGAGTATCAAGTCTTCACTGCTTAGTTTACCGCCACACTCAAAACCCCGACATATAATTCAACATTCATTCAGCTGGGATTTTACACCAATAATAATTATGACATAGCTATTCACCCCAACATTGTAGTCCAAAATTCAACATCATCCCCAAGTCAAGAGTAAAGCAGAAACAGAAAATAGGGCGAGAGACAATCAGACAACACCAAATCTTATTTTTAGCAGTCTCCTTAAATATTAAAGCTCACTGATGACATTCATCAAATCGGGATCCCTGACGACGACGTCAGCTCTCTCAAGTCTCAGCAACATCTCACATTGAAGAAAAAAAAAAACATTTGACTTTTCCAAGCAAAAGAAAACAAACCACCGTGAGGAAAAAAAGAAAGAATCAGCAGCCGACAAGAAAAGCCACTTACCGTCTGTGTCAGTTGCGACACGGGGGGGAGGGGCAGAGTGAGGGCACAGGCGCCAGGAAAGGCAGAGCAGATGATGGAGAGAGTGACAAGAGAAACAGCGAACGGCACGTGAGAGAAAAGAGACAGAGCACAGAGCCACAATCACATGATGAGAAAGGCACACAAAGATAGAAAGTCCATCCGCCGCACGGAACCGCGCCACAATAACCTGCCCTCCTCCGTCTCCGTTCCATCGATCGCTCCATGACGAGCCTCGCTTCTCATGCGATCGCCTTTTTCTGACCGAAGAAATCGTCACGCAGTCGTAAATGCATGACGCGTGCTTACATTTGCATTACTTTTATGATTTATTGATTTTTTTTTGTTTTAAACATTAAGGCACCCAAAATGAGGAATTCAAAGCCGGCCGGGATGGTCCAAGTGATGGGAAAGCCACGCCTTTCAGCTTCGTTCAAGCCTCATGTACAGAAACTAGAAAACCGTTCGGATCATGCCATTGTCATGTTGACCACTTCAACCGAGATGTCTTTTCGTTGGCCAAGTAATAATCGCCCGAAGAATCTGGAACTCAATGACTTCTCATTAATCGCAGCTGAGTTATCTGAACTCAAGTGCTGCTCTCGCGAGCATACGCCGCACGCTCGGCTCACGTTCCCGTTGAGGGATTGGCGGCGATCTTGAGGGGGGCGCTCGATGAGGCGCGGGCCTTACCTTAATCTCTGTCACCAGGATGTCTGTTATGCTTCCCAGCACCGTCACAAAGTCAAACACATTCCAGGCTGCCTTCAGGTAATTCTTTAAAAAAAAAAAAAAAATACAAATATTGTGAGCAGCAGTTAAAAAAATAGTCCGAATCCGACAGCTCCCAACCGAAATCCTCGTGAATCTCCTCACAAGACACGCATTAGGTTTCGTTCGGGAGTCATTAAAACTAAATCGTCGACTTTAACATGCAGTGTCGAGCAAATGCTGGATAAAAGTAGAGCCTGGCGTCGTACTTTGCAGATCCAATTCCGACAGGGTGAGAGCGTTCTGTAAGCGACGACGAAACGACCGATGTGTAAGAAAAGCAAATGATGGACACGGAACCGCACCCCATGCAGAGCAGATGGCGCCGCGTGGAAATGACAAGCGTTGTGCCTTGGAATACTTGCCTTCCGAGCTGCGCTTGTTGGTCGGAATAATTTGAACATGTCCGTCTTGAATGTGAGACCAAAATTGAGTATTTTACACTAACGTTTCCCTAAGTTGTACTTTGTGACTGTTTCCTAATTTGCTCGGCTTTCTTAAGATTCACCAGTAGAGGCTGGCCATCTAAACGAGCTGATGATTTTAGCATTCTCTGGGATTGCATTTACAGAGTTGGACCGGAGAAAAAATATTCATTAAAAAAAAAATAAATAAATAAAAATAAAAAATAGACGGAACCATGTTTTGCAGAGTGCAAAGGAGCACATTCTCACCAGTGGACCAAAGGCAATAATCTTCAGGATGCACTCAAGAGTGAAGAGGGCAGTGAAGACGATGTTCAAGTATTTCAGCATGGACTCGTAGAGATCCGGCGCGCCATAAAACTGGGGAGGAAAGGCAAAAGTCGAAAAACGATTTGGAGGAACAATCTGCAAGGTTCCAATGCCCAAGCGGTGCGAGGGGAGAAAGTGGCTCCCTCACTCTCAACTGGAACTTCAGCAACGTGTCAAATGTGCGTTGGGATGTGCGCACTGCCCAGTCGAGTCCCTTTTCTCACACTTGATTTGTGATGCCTTATCCCAAGGCTGCGCAATGTATGATACTTTGCGTACAAACGGAACCGTGATAATGGCACGCCATCACACGAGAAATATTCGACGAAACAATACGTGCTATTTCTGTTGCAAAAAAAAAAAAAAAATCGACATCTCAGTAAAACATTCCCATGTTATTTCTTATTCTCAAATTTCCAAGAAAATAATGAGGAAAAAGATCACGCCATTTAAGAATAAGTAGCACGGGAGGCTGTTGCTTAAAAATGTCTTTGGGATGAAATGGGAGCCACTCGATTTAATCATCGACACCGCCGTGACAAATTTGGCCCCCCTTCCTGATTTCTGTGTTCTTCGGGTATTTATCACATACAAAGCTTTGAGTTCATCCAACCGATTTTCATCTCACGCAAAGACTGCCCAAGGAAATGCAGTTCCTAAATCCCAAACGGACGTGTCCCCGTGTGAAAAAGTAATTGTGTGACTACGGTGACACAATCTTTTGCAAATATATCGTTGGGGTCAGCTCTACTCTTCAATTTGTGCGATGTCGCGTTTTCTTCTCGGAGGAATATGCGCAGTCACTCACCTTCATCATCAGCACCACAGTGTTGAGGGCAATCAAAGTCATAATGGCGTATTCGAATGGTGGCGACACCACAAATTTCCACATCTTATACTGGAAGGATTGCTTGTTTTCCGGCATGTATCGAGTCAGCGGCTTGGCATTTATGGCAAAGTCGATGCAAGCCCTCTGTTTGACAAGGAGACACAACGCAAACTCTTGTGAAATTCTTTTTTTTTTTTTTCCGCAGAAGGAAGGAGCTGTACGTACTCTAACCAGAGTGAACTCACTCAGCATTTAAAACTCAGAGAGGCCGATGCCTCGCCTCACAATGAATTTGCAAGGGCCGTGATATGGTTAAAAAAAAATGAGACGACAACTGCTCCGTGATCACAAGCAAAATCATGCAAAACCCAAACGAGCCCTCCATCAAAGTCCCCGTGAAGCGGTCGTGACGGAATACAGAAACAAACCCTCATTTTGCGATTTGGCTCGTGCGCGCGATTCACAAACACGAATTCGTCTTGTGCATGTTTCAGTTTGTGACAGAAGGGCACCGTGCATTTCGCAAAGCATCATAGTCTCAAAATAAAAAAAACATAAATGTTCTCTCATTGCACGCAGACGAGCAGATCCAAACATTCATACCTCATTCTTTTCCAGGCTACACTCCGACATGGCTTTGTCTCCCTGCTCTTGAAAGGTGATGATGATCAAAGCAACAAATATGTTGACGAAGAAGAAAGGGAACACCACAAAGTAGACCACGTAGAAGATGGACGTCTCCATGCGGAAACCCGGGCTGGGGCCCTGGTCCTCATAGGTGGCGTCCACTGAGTGCTTCAGCACCCTGCAAGTGAATTTTCGAGTGATGATTTCCAAACAGAAGCTGTGTAGAAAATACACGCGACGCTAAGGCGGTGTGCGCGCACGTGTGCTAACGGGTCGATCGCGGAAGATCGGTTGCTTTGAAAAGTAGATCTGAGGTCAATTCAGATTTTCACCTAAAAAAAAAAGTATTCTCGGAATCAAAGTTGAGATTTTTCTCCCGGTCTGAAATGATTGCGCTGCCAGCGCCTGTTAAGGAGAGCGCGACTTTAGGTGACAACCGTAATTAGCTAAATGAATTACTTCTCCGCCATGTAACTAAAATCAACAAATGGGCTCACGGCCCGAGGTTGTTTCTCGGCAGTGCTGATGATTATGATAAATGGATTAATTTCGGCACGGACTGCTCGATTGACAGGAGACATTTACACAATGAGCATTGATTGAAGAATGAAGAAAAATACGGTGGACTTCATTTCGTCTTCGTGCGCGTCGTTGCCTTTTCGCCACGTGGCTTTTCATTTTTGGATCGGCGCTTTCTACTTTGCTTCTTGATCGGGAACGACGGCGATGCGCGGCATGAGTGTGACGATCATCCGAACTCACAGAGGCCAACCCTCCCCGGTGGAGACGGTGAACAGCGTTAAGAAGGCCCAGAGAACGTTGTCGTAGTGGAACTCGTATTTCTTCCACTCTCTCGGCTGAGCTTCCACATCGCGGCCGCGTTCCACTTTGTCATAATCCAGGAACTGACCCCTTTGAGAAACGGGAGGGGGGAAAAAAAAAACTTTTAAAGCCGATCTGAATGAGGCTAATGATGAAGACTGTTCGAGAGGGCCTTTCATTGGCTGCGTTTAAAAGTATCAGCCGCAAAACGAGAAAGGCCAAAGACTGTACCTGCAGTCTTTCTCGAGACCCTTGGACTCATCCGTGCAGTAGAAGAATTTGCCCTTAAAAAGCTGCACGGCGATAACAGCAAAGATGAACATGAAGAGGATGTAGACGATGAGGATGTTGAGAACATTCTTCAGGGAATTCACGACGCAGTCGAACACAGCCTGGAAAAACAGACAACGCAAATGTCAGTGCCGTAATAAGGAGGCAGCGTGGATGTGCGTGTGAATAAGAAATACGCCTTCTCATGTCAACATAATATGAACTGAAGTTATGCTCCTACATACGGCGTTAGCATCATTGCTAATTGCAAATGTGACAAGCGTGATTGCCGCTTTCATCCAGTGGCTGCCGGCTACCTATTAGCGAGTAAGCACACGCACGCACGTTTTCGCACAAACAGTGTTTCCAGCATGTGTTTTGTCCCGAATGAGCTTGATGAGTTCCGGACTGAATGACCGTACCTTGAGTTTGGGCAGACGTTTAATGGTTTTGAGTGGCCGCAAGACTCTGAGGACCCTCAGGGACTTGATGGTGTTGATGTCCTTGCCTTTTGTCCCTCTGTGGAGATTGAGATGACGGTAAATTTGTGAGATGTCGAGTACCGCTTTCCCCTTCGAGCCTTTTAACCTTTCTAAACGTCTCCATCCTCTTAAGAGTAGCAGACGGCGGTGCATCAAAATAAATGCTCCACGTAAGAAGAGAGACCTGCTCGTGATCGGTTCGTCGTAAAATACACTCGAGTGAGGGTTACACGATGTTATTCTACAGCAACCAGGGGAACATTTTACATCCGCAGTGCCAAGTAAACCGGATGACACAAAGCAAAATTTGTCTTGAAAATGAGCCATCGCGTCATCCTGCAAGCGGTATTTTGTTCAGATTTGCAAAAATGTCGGATTTGTCACACTCTGCATTCAGATAAGACTTTGTCACCGCTTGCCCATAAATGATTTTGTCAGATTAGACATTCCTACCACTTTCGTGGCCAAAAATGAGTGCTGGCATATTGACACTCCCGTGGTAGCCTTCGCATGGGCTTAAATTTTGTTTCTGTAGAATAACATTGAAATGTTTAAAAACAAAACAACAAAAAAAAGAGGAGGAGTCTATCAGCAAAGAATCCACCTCTTGTCGAGGTCAAAGCTTCTTTGCAGGAACCACTACGACGAGGCTCCTTTCATGTACGAAGGAGGAGGTGTGTATGCGCTGATCCAGAGGGGGATTGCGTACACACTGATGTCGGACAGCGAGGGAGGGCCGGGTTTAATTAAAACAATGCACGCATTTATCGCCCCTGATGGAATTGCGTTTTCATCTGACATTCCCACAGGCAAATCCAACATGAGGCCAAAGGTAGAACTATGTCTCGATACAATGACGGCCACAACGTGATTCAAGAGTGGTCATCCAACTGTAAATAATTGAAACACCGAAGCCAATACTTTGAGTCCCCGCAGGACTTTGACAATCATCCTACCAACGGCACGATGTTAATCCTCAAACGAAGACGAGGGCGGGGACCTCGTTTTACGTCCCGTTTAAGGCCTCGTCCAAAGGTATTGTGGGCTCAAATAAAAGGCCATGTGTGGTTCCATCACTCTCCTGCCTCAGTTACAGTCTCAGAAAACGACATGCACCGCTCATGCTCACGTTACTCGACAACCCGGGCATGCAAGATCCCAAAAAAAAAAGACAATGCCAGCTCTTGTTCTTGAAGGACCTTAACACGCGGAGATGGAAACAACTGTCTCCCGATAGCTTTCAGAAGGCGGGCAGTGTTCGCTAGAAGAATTTAGGATCCGGGCGCGTTAAGGTCATCGTCACCCGCGGGACGTGCGGACGACTCGACAGCCTCTCAAGAGTGGGAGACTTCCTGAGTCGATTTCTCCTGTCAGAAACTTTCATGTACTTGACCAACGTTGAAGTCAGCGGCATGCCATGCTTTGATTCCAGTCGATGAATATCAACATCCAGGCCAATGAATGAGTTCCAATGATCGTTTGTATGCAATGTTTTCAGAACTGCACGTTGACCTTCTGAAAGCCAAGAAAAGGAGCTCCCAATATCGTCTTCTTGTCCCGATGTCCGAATATTGGGACAGGAGCTATTTCTACTCGACAAGGGAAGAGGGATACGCGGTCATATCCCAAGGACCTTGGGATGGAGGCCAAAAACCCCCCCAAAAACGACATCTGAAGAGGTGGGCAAGAGAAGCATTCTGTGCTTCACATTGGAGGAAAGAAGGGGAAGGAGTGTGGACAGGCAATAGGTAAGATAAGGACTGTTCCCACCTGGCCACGCTTTGTTGCGATCTGATGAGAAAAAGCAATGATAAGCAGACAAACACACACACACAACCAATTAACACCACAACCCCAAAAGCATCGCAAATGGATGAAAGGAAATACAGCCAAGCCAAATCATCGATTTCATCGGAAAGGGACGGCGGTGGTTATTTAAATGATGACGTTCGACGGGAGGGTGAAGAAGGGCAACGGATGAGAAGTTCTCTTCTGAGTGGATGGAAAGGCAAATGACGGACTTTTCACACTCGTGTCGGATTGAAATGGTGACAAAAAGGGGCAGGGGGGCGGTGGGGGGTGAAGGTGTTGACCCGAATTAACAAAGAAAGGAGGTGGTGAAGGAGTAGCAGGTGGCTCATGACTGACGACATTCACACGGCAACGAAGACTGACGAAAATCTGATTTTACGATGTCACCGTCCGGTGAGCCGACATTTCCGCTTCAGCCTTTAATCATAAATGGAATGCTTTATTTGTATCTTGGAATACAGAGAAAAGTTCTCTAATATATGAACCGATTTTATTTGTCGTTAATGGCACCTACTCGATCCGCCCCTTTCAACCTTTTATAACGAACCTTGTGGCCCCTACCAAATGTCTTTTTTGGTCATGTTGTCCGCTCACGAGTACGTTGCGTTTGCGTCTGCAACGTATTTCGCCAAACGGGTTCACGTAAACATGGCTGATCACAGTTTTGGAATTGCGACGATGGTTATGAAGTCATCCGGATCAGAAATATCACTTCAGTCTTGCTATGCGTATGCAGCCCGTTACATCATAAAATCGGAGTTGATGAGGTCAACGTGGATGAAAAGCTGCAACGGAAGGGAGGCGGGGTGATGGGCTGACAAAGAGGAAATGTTTGCGTCTGATAACCTGCCTGAGTGAATTAGAGAATTGCTAATGGTCCAATGTGAGGGCAGGGCCGTGCATTAGTCGTCACGGAGATTCTGACAAACCCTCAAATTTGTATTGGATGTTTCACATTTTGACGTACATTTAGGGTTTAGTCATCTTGTATGCTCAATCCGGCACTCTTCCTTTGCACCTGCAGCAATGTTCAAGCTCTTGTAAAAAAAAAAAAAAAAAAAAAAACGTTTCATCTTAGCAGAAATGGGCCTTTTTTTTAAAAGGACGAACTAAGCAAGGACGGAAGTGGGTGTTTGTCCGTCCCTTTAATCGACCCTAACCGGGTCACGCATTGGATGTTGGGAGGCCACATAAGGCAAGAGTGGAGCCAAACACTGTATTTTCTCAACAGTGTGTAAATGATAATACTTGCAGAAACACGCACACGTTTATGCCAGTATCTCCGGTCGTTGCTGATCCGAGAGTGAGACGGAAACATTCATACGGCTGTGAGCTTGCGGAATATAAACGGATTGAGTTTTGCGAATGAGGGGCAGGAAGGAGAACAGAAGACCCAAAGAGGACAGACAAGCACAGACCGAAAGACTGAAAGTTCAGGCTTTTTACCCCATTAGGCTCCTGAAAGCAATCCACGGCAGAAACCGAGGATGGGGAGGGGAAAAATGTGGGGTGGGGGGGACAAATACGCAGAATCAGCAACATATAAAAGACAGAGAAGCATCAACTTTTAGTTGGAAAAGCAGAGTGACAGAAAGCAGAAAAAAGATCACAGAAGTGAGAATCTGGAAGGAATATTACCACACGTGAAAACAAATGCGGATGTGGAAAAACTGAAAGAATTAAGTGGACTAGGATATCAGATTTGAACTCATGAGATATATATATACAGTAGACATAGTGTGTGTGTGTGTGTGTGTGTGTGAAGCATTAAAGAAGACGACTTACGAGCAGGCAAATGCCACAAGAGCGCCACTGACCACAATGAAGTCAAGAATGTTCCATAGATCACGAAAATAGGAACCGGGGTGGAGGAGGAGTCCTAAGTCAATCATCTTGAGAATAAATACACACAAAAAAAAAAGGGACAGTTATTTCATCATTTTTGCTTCATTCCCAACAAGATAATAAACGTCACCAAAGACTCTGCTTTTATTTTGACAGCTGTATTACCTTAATCACCATCTCAAAAGTAAACACTCCAGTGAAGACGTAATCCAGGTACTTGAGCACCTGCAAAACAGAGTTCGAAAAGATGCCGTAAAACGGCAGCGCGAGACGAGGCGTGACTTGCGACGGCTGATCCGAAAGCGTCGGCGCCGCGCTTCCGCCCGGCGCCGATCGCCGCAATCTGACTCACGTTATTTCGCGGCGCGTTGGATTGCACGGGATCCTCGGCTGCCAGGGCGATGCTGCTCATGGTAATGACCATCAGGATGCACATTTCAAAATAGCGCAGGTTGACCACGTAGTGACACAGCCGCCGCACCCTGCCACACCACACGCGCAGAAATTCGACCTGGTTTGCACTTACTATCATCGTCCAACAAATAAACAAATTGTTGACTAGTCATAGAAAACTAATAATCTGTCTTTTTATAATAATACGATGTGCTGATTCAACATTTATTCGGTTTCACTGTCGTAACGGCCCTCCGACGGAAAACGGAACTCCAAAGTGACAAAAATGAGTTTGTGACCCTCGATCGACGGACATTCAATTTAATACCTCTTCAAAAATGTGACCTTTTTTTTTTTTTGTTTTGTTTTTTTTTTTGGGCATGTGACATTGTAGTTCAGTGCGGTTCAGTTGTGTCCACCTGAATTACGCCGTAACAACGTGTATAACGGCCGAAAGTGTAGCCCATATTCCCGCTGCCATTGATTGATGAAAGCTTTCATCTTTTGAAAATGAATTGAAGACTGCTTGAACTTTCGATGAGTCACGCGGGAAACTGGGCAAACTTTAGAAATGAATGAAGAGAAAATAACGAGTAGCCAATGACTTACGGGTTTGTTTGTCCAAAGATGAACATGGAACTGTAGGGGAGGATCTGCCGAGGCCGACTGGCGGCATCGTCATCTTCCAGAGCTTTCTTCTCCTCGCTGATGCCAAAGTTGCCGCTCTCAATGTTATTCACTGGCGCGGAAAAAGACGCGCGTTCATGTATTTGCCGTCAAAGCTCAAAGGGCGCGCAACCGAACGACATGCTGCGACGGGAGAGCGTTTGATTTCAGATCCAAGGCGTTCATTCCCATGCCACGAATCGCTTGAGTTGAAAAGTGGGCGCGTCACGCGATGCGATGAAGCTTCTGCTTACTGGGTATCACGGTGGTCTCTCCGGGTGGGGCGGTTATGGTGACGGGGATGTGAATCGTGTTGCTGTTCAATCCGGCCTGGCTGGCCCTGGTGGAATTCTTTTGGTTGTCGGCGTCTTCTTGCTTGTCTCCGAGACTCAGAGGACTTGTGGCGAGAACGTCCTCCTCGCCGTCCGACTGCAGCTCCCTGCGGAAAGAATCAAAGGGGGGGATTTTTCAGCGTTATTGATTGAGCCGACGTTAGGACCAATGGCGAGAGGACATTTTGGCCCTTTCTCAGGTTTTGGGTTTCAGAACGCTGTCATGGACACGTGTTGCGGCTGCACTGGGAGACGGATGACCCCCACAAGTCACACTGAACGACGAGTCCATGAAGCGAGATCTTATTTCTCCGGACGGAGGAGCTCCGAAATAACAAAATGAGAAAAATCCTCCATCGGGACCGTCACATTTTACGACGCGGAGTCTTACCTCGGATGTTTCTTGCCTTTTTGGCTTTCATCGGCATCCAGAGTCGACTGCGCTCGGACCAATCGAGAGCAGCGTCCTTTTCTGTCTCCGTTGCCCTCGCCTCCTCTTCCCCGGCCCCTGCGCTCTCCGTGGGCCCCGTTGGCCAACGTGCCATTGCCCTCTTTTGGCGTACGGTGCGAGTGGTGGTGGCGATGCCCTCTTTCCTCCCCCCCCGCCCGTACGTCGGAGCTCTCCTCTTCCGGGGAGCCCGCGTGATGGTGCCGCCGGCGCCTCTGCCCCTCATCCCGACCGTGGCCGCCCTCCCCTCTTCTCTCCTTCGTCTGAGCGCCGTTGCTATTGTGATCTTTGCTCCGGCTGTGATGGGTGTGATGCCTCGCCGGGCGGCCGTCACCGGCGTCCCTGCCCTCGCCGTTCTTGTCCCGATGGCGGTGGTGCTTCCTGGCGTGCGAGTGGACGACGTCTCCCGTACCGTCTTGTTGTCCTTCCTCGGGAGGTCTGTTCGCCGGGTCACTGTTCCTGGACTCGACCACAAGGGGTCTGTCCAGGTGAGTCTTCATGTCGGGATGGAGATGGAGGACGGAGGATAGTCGTAGGCGCTCCTCGGGGTCCAGCTCGTTAAATAAAGCCTCGCTGCTCGTTCTTACGTTGTGTCGCCTCAGCTGGTTGGTTCTTTGCTCCCACACTGACATGGTCTTTGATGGACGTTGCTGTTCCTTGCTAGACACACACACATAAAAAAAATATATATCCGCATGTAAACGTTACAATGAACACAGTGTCATTGAAGGTGTCTCGGTTTTTCAGCGCAAGGTGTTTGAACAGATTTTCCGTCACCTTCGGTACAAACATAAGCAGATCGGCTTCTATCACTGATGTCCCATTCATAATTATCAGTCTCGCCAGCGATTTATCCCCCCCCCCCGCCACCCCTTACCCGTAGGGACCCAAACTTAAGAGCGTGTCACAAAATGATCAGGGATGCAGAGCACAAATGTCCATCACGATAGCTTTCACTCACCATGCTGATGTCATATGCATGAAACGTGACCACGGAACTGTTCAAAGTTTCGGCTTTGCAGAAAATACATCAAACCAGAATGCGGTGAAATGAGAGCAAGCATATCATGACACTTTTTTTTTTTTTCCAACTACAGTACAGTATATGCATGTACCCAGGATGCCATAGTCATGAATGCGCCTCGACTTGAACCAAAAGGGGATGGCTGACGTTTTCGTTTTCACCAGCAATGTAGCTAGCCACGCCCTCTTTCTTTATCAACAAGGTGTGCTCAGGAGAACACTCTTCTCTGATCGCCATTCCGCCTGCCCAGCGAGATCCACAGTCTTGTACGAAAACAGGATTGACGATCCCAAAGGTCAAATTGAACGATGTGAACGTCTCGCATTGTTTTGTTTTGCCTTTGATCCATTATGATTTCATTTTTGGGAACATGTTTGCTGTCAGACATATCCACTGCTTATCCTTTGTCAACTTTTTGCAGACATGGCATGCCTGTATCCCAAAATCTATGACGATCATGAGCGAAGACACAAATGGGTGAAAAATGACTTTTTACATTCGGTGCTTTTTATGTTTTCTTATTTCCATCTAAAAAAAAAAAAAAAAAAACAAATAAAAATAATAATTAATGCTTATGGTATGCGGTGTCTATATGATTTATTTACATGGTAATTTATTGCTTAGTTAAGTTTGCTCCATCCGGTCACCTGTACCTCGAGAATCGTCGGGCAGGGGTAGAGTAGAGACTATAACTCCTAAGAGTGAGACAGAAGACACACACGGACAGACAGAAGACACAAAGGAAAAGTTTGCACACGCACGGACGTGAGCGACGCACACGAGGCTGCATTTCCCAGGGAGGGACGTGACGCAGACAAAGACACCGGAGGGAGAAAAATTATTCTTCCTGCGAGATACATTGAAGCATTTGAGTCACATGAATGTTTGGCGTCGTCATCTCCCCTGAACTCATTTCGGGAGCGTAAACACGTTCAGACACCACAAAACAACCGTCGTGTTTACACAGACAGCGAGACGCAAGCTACCGGCTTCACCGCAGACAGCGCTGATGGTAATAAAAGCACTGTCAAAAAATTAAAACAAAAAGTTCAGAACCGTGTGTTTATGTTTCAGGCCTTTTATATTGTTGAAAAGATTTTTTTTTTTTTTTAAATTTCCATTTCAATTATGTGGCATTTGGAAGGAACCTTGCGTTTGTGACAGCCGCCCTGTATACTGCATTCGAATGACGGTCTACCATGCCAACAATCAGGACAAGACAGAAAACCATTTGGATTTTGGGAGCCCCGGTGAAGAAGAGAAGTAAGCTCCATTATTTAGGCAGTCATCAAGACTGAATGGGGAGGACAGAGAGGAAAAAGGGGGGGGGGGCAAGGAGGGGGAATATTGTAACAGAGAGCGATAACTCACAGTGACTGAATGCTGTTGATGGACGACCTGCGAGAGATTGCATCTCGATTTTGCTTTACAAAACTGCACATGCAGAACAAAAAAACAAAAGAAAATTGAGAAACAAATACGAAGGGAAAAGGTGGAACCTCAATCCGTCCACCTGTTCCCTTCTAATCGACTCCAAGGCACACATCTGTGCAACTACTTTGCAAACACCATCACATCATTTGTAAGCAGACGTTTTTTTGGGGGGGGGGGGGAGAAGCGAGAAACTGAACCTGAAAAGTAATCAAGAGTTTCACTCCAAAGACATTTTCGATTTGAATTTGTAACACGAACAATTTGAACGGTTTGACAACGCTTCCGATTGGAATTTTGCTCTCATTTTTTGGTCCAGAAAATGCCATGCCGTGAAACCCCCGAGTTTGCCAACACAAACGCTTACATTTCAAACACAAACAGTTGCTTATGAGCCAACTCGCCAATGTGCCACCACACTAAGTCAAGAGTTGGAGAGCGCTGGATGCTAATGCACAAGAAAATGACAGTGATGACAGGGGAAAGGCGGGAGAGATGAGGCAGCTTGCCAGCGTTTTGTCCAGTTGAGCAATTCAGGACATGCTGTGGGCCAAACATCAGTTT